GCTGAAGTCCCAGGAATGTATGTTGCATCCTCGGGGGACCTTGTCTGTCCCGTCGCTGTCCTATCCGCGTCGAATCCGTGTCGAATCCATGTCGGACTCGTCGGATCCGTGTCGAATCCGTGTCGAATCCACGTCGAATCCATGCCAAGTCCGCGTCGAGTCCGCATCAGGCATGCGTCGGACACAAGAAAAAGACACCAATTTTGGGAACAGGCGAGGTTCCCCCAAGATGCAACGTTCAGGAATGGTGATTGAGCCAAGACGAAACAATGACGTTGACTCGTGGCGTCGGAGTCCCGAGAATGGTGTCTTCGCACGCTTCAGGGTCTTCAAACTGTTATCTCCCAACAGGGCACTCCCCTGAGTGGAAATGCATCGCTGTAGAGGCCTCTGAAGAGGGAGCTTGCAGGCAGGGCTTCTTCCAACAGCGTTGATGAGTACTGGGTTTGCACTGGTTCTCCTCCTCCTCGCCCATCCATTTGCCCTTGTCTCCTACCACTGTCGGCATCCCTCGCCACCTCCCACGTGCTCCCTCTTCCAGGGGAGGGGGAGAGAGAGAGAGGAGAAGCAGGAAGTGGGGAGAGGGCCTCATCGTTTTTCTCCGATCCCCTTGCTCCCTCTCCCCCTCATCCGAGGCAACCGCCGCGACGGAGCGAAGTCTCGTTGAGATCCTGGGTACACATGTACTTGATATCCCGTCATTGTATGCACTCTTCGCGAGATCTCGACGTGCCTCGGCAAAACCATCTAGACCTCCTGGGATCTTGCCTTCATCATTTCCGGTAGCAGTCGTTGCCCGGGGGGCGGGTAGAGCAGCGCTTTGGCGGGGTGGGGCGCGTTGGGGCGGGGGTGCGCTGCCATCACCACAATATGCGCGCGAGCACCAGCACCATCACCAGAACAAGATACGGCCCAGGCCCTCGCCCCTACTAGCTACGTACGATCGCTACCGCTGTCTCAAGGGGGGGCGGGGCGGCTGGCGCGGGCAACGACCGTTACTAGAGGCATGAAACAACGGCATAAACCTAATGTCTTCGACGTCCGCGTGGATTTCCTGGATCGGCGCTGTACCCCCCAACCTGGCGCGCGAAGCGGGCCAGGGGCGGCGCCGGACGCGCTGCAAGGGTTGGCCAATGCCGGTACAAGAGATCCGCTCGGACCTCCCAGAAGGCATGTCTATGCCGTCGTCTGCTCTCCGACTTACGCGCCAGAGGGTCTCCGAGCTCGCGCTGCGCCACAGATGCGTATGCGCCCGCCCCCTCCAGAGCGCGACTGGGCGTAGCCCACCGAGAATGGTGCATGCGCAGTCGCCCCCCTCCCCCTCTTGAGCGCGACTGGGCTTACCCCACTGAGAATGGTGCTTGCAGTGGGGTCCGAGTAGACGTGGTCGGAGGAACGCGCCGCATCGACGCTGCATCGGCGACGTCGGCGGTGCATCGGCGACGCCAGCGTGGAGCAAATCGGGCTCCACGTCGCCGGTGCATCGGCGGTGCGGCGCGATCCTTCGATCCCGACTGCTCCGACCTCATCAGGAAGGCCCAAGGCACTGCGGCATTCCCAATCGCCCCCCACCACCATCCCGAGCGCGCGTGGGCATACAGCACTGGGAATGGTGCTCCCCCGAGAGAATCGGCGACGAGCTCTGGGGGGGAAGTGGGAAGGGGCGGGCCTTCTCAGAGGGCTCGGAGGTCCCCCCGCCTTCTGCAGAGTGTTCTGAGCCTCCCCCGAAGGCGCAGAGCACTTCTCGGAGGGCGGGAGGGCTTCTGAGAAGCCCCGCCGCCTGCTGCGAAGGCCTCCTCCTCCTCACTTCCCCCCCTCGGTCTCTGCCGAGTACAACACCGGGAAGCTGCCCCCCACCCCCCGAGGAGGCGGCCACCTCGCGCCCCCCTCCTGGGGAGGTACATGTACGCGAGGCGCGGGCTCGCGCCCCCCCGCGCGAGGGCCGGTTGCCCCAGCCTGCAGCCGCAGAGGTGCCCAGTGGAGGGGAGGGGCCGCCCTCTTCAGGGGCAAGGGTAGGGCCACCCTTTCTGTTGAGGGGCAACGACGGGCGACAGGGCCACCCTTTTTTCGGGGATGGACAGACCCCCCTTTAGCACAACGTGGTTTAGAGAAAACGACCTGAGGCCCAAACCTGGCGGGCGCAAGCCTGGAAAATAGCGGCCACGGCGCCCTCTCGAGAACCGAAAACGGACAATTCACTAATCGACGTCAACAATCGGCGACAGGCCCCCGATATCGACTCCCCGTCTGTTCCCTGCTGGGCAGGGCGGGGCTATCAGACCCCTGTCCACGATCAGTGGGCGATGGGGGTTCGGCCGATGCGTGCCTCCCTGTGCCCATCCCCCCCCCATCTTTGCCGAAGTCGTTTGCGCTGCGCTCATGCGATGCAGAATTATTTCGCATCACCTGCAAGGATGGAACACACGTGATTTGCAAAATCCCACCAGCCCTTTGGGCGTGAGTGGTTTAGAGAGCCCGCTCTGTTCTCAACCCCCTTCTTCCCCTTCGGGGAGGGGTTTACCCCTCCCCCTACCCCCTCCACCTGGGCCTGGAGAGGTCCTTTCGCGGGTCGTCAGGGGGGTCATTTTCGACTCCTGGGAGGGCTAAAAAACGACACCCCTCACGAGGATTCTGGCCCCGACGGGGGGAGGCAGAAAAAATGCTCTCCTCTTCTTTGAAGCCACAATCATTGATTTTACTATGGTTTTGGCCCCATTTTGGCCTTCTGAGGGGGCAGCGCTCATTAAAGCTCCCCTCTTCTTTCAAGGCAAAATCATTGATTTTACGAAGGTTTTGGCCCCATTTTGCCCTTCTGAGGGGGCAGCGCTAATTAAAGCTCCCCTCTTCTTTGATCGATTTCCTCCAAGATGGCCCCCAGAAGCGCCCAGGAGGCACCAAGAGGCCCCAAGATGGCCCCAAGAGGCCCCCAGGAGGCCCCCAAGAGGCCTCCAAGAGGCCCCCAAGATGCCCCCAAGAGGCCCCCAAGAGGCCCCAAGAGGCTCCCCCGAGGCACCCAAGACGCTCCTGGAAGCCCCTGGGGCCGCCAAGAGGCCCCCAAGACGCCCCAAACGGCCTCCAAGAGGCTCCCAAGAGGCCCGAAGAGGCTCCCCCAAGGCACCCAAGACGCTCCTAGAAGCCCCTGGGGCCGCCAAGAGGCCCCCAAGACGCCCCAAAAGGGGACGAGGTGCCCGAACGCCTCACGCCACGAGGAGCCCGAACGACTCACACCAGGACGAGGGGCCCGAACGACTCACACCACGAAGAGCCCGAACGACTCACACCAGAAGGAGGGGCCCGAACGACTCACACCAGGACGAGGCGCCCGAACGACTCACACCACGAGGAGCCCGAACGACTCACACCACGACGAGGGCCCCGAACGACTCACACCACGAGGAGCCCGAACGAGTCACACCAGGAGGAGGGGCCCGAACGACTCACACCAGGACGAGGGGCCCGAACAACTCACACCACGAGAAGCCCGAACGACTCACACCAGGACGAAGAGCCCGAACGACTCACACCACGAAGAGCCCGAACGACTCACACCAGGAAGAAGGGCCCGAACGACTCACACCAGGACGAGAAACCCCAAACGACTCAAACCACGAGGAGCGCTTTCTCTCCCTCCTCCTCCGCCTCGTCCTTCTCCCGCTCCCACCACAAGGAGGATGTACAAGGAGGCGGGAGGAAGGAGGAACAGGGGAGATATGCGGGGGCAGGCGGAAACACGCCTGAAAAACACGACTGTCGGCATGCTTCGCAAGAGTTGCTGTTTTGAGATGGGCTGGTGGGGATACGCGAAGCGTGAAGAATAAGGCTCTCAAACCCTGCGGGTGCACTCCGAACCGCATCCTGGAATCCTCTGGGGAGGGTCTTCGGAGAGCTTCGGGAAGGCTTCTGCCGTTGTGTGAGGTTCCCGTCGTTTTCGAGCGACCCCTGGACCGTTTGCTGCAAACTTGTAAGACTAGGTTACGGGGCGCTGAGGCGAGAGCCTTGTTTTGAAGATCACCTGTGTTGCAGGTGTTGCGACATTCTACAACTATCGGCGCTGCCGCAGTGCAGCGGCGAGAACATCATTTTGAAAACGGACCCCCCTCAATCCCTGAAACGGTTGCAACTTTCAAGCTTCAGGATCATGAACGGTGAGGAAGTCTCCAGCGGACCGCCTGGTCCGCCCTACCCACACGCCTGGGGGTGCGACCGGGAGGAGCCAGTGACAAGAAGGAAGGATGGATGCAAGAAGGACTGGACTGGACTGGACGAGTCCAGATTGGGCTGTGCCCAATTAGGGCCGCAATCGAGGGATGAAAAAACGGCCCTACCCTGGGTTACAAGTGCGTGGTCTGTAAACCTCCTGGGAACCCCCAAAGCCTAGAGCCGCCAGGACGCGGCACATCACGCAGGGTTTACCCTGTCAGCCCACAGGAGTTTCAGCGCACAGCGCCTCGTAAACCAGGGTAGGGGCGTTTTTTTTGTATGCCTTTGACGCAATGCCTCAAGAGGGCTGACATGCACGCCTGACGAAGCAATCACGTGCTGCCCTAGAACTGCGTCGGGGCCTGCTGGGCGCGCTAGACATCGCCAGGAGAAGGGCTGAGGAGCAGGGGCAGCGGGCTGGAGGAGCGGGAAGGCAGGAACACGAGGAAGGGGGAGGAGGAGGAGGAGGAGGAGGAGGAGGAGAGGAGGAGGAGGAGGAGGAGGAGGAGGAGGAGGAGGAGGAGGAGGAGGAGGAGGGGAGGAGGAGGAGAAGGAGGAGGAGGAGGAGGAGGAGAGAAGAGGAGGCAGAGGAGTCAAGCCAGAGAAAGAAGGAGGACAAATAATGGGGACACCAATGAGATACCGATACCGCTACTCCCAAGACTTCGCGGTGCGTCCTGACCAGGATCTCGAGGCAACTCCGGCCGTGGCGACGAGGGCCTCCCAGGAGCAGCGAGTGAAGGGTAGTGAAAGGGTGGCGGAGTGCAGGGCAGCGGAATCGACGCCCGGAGGCCAGACGCCTCCAGCAGCAGCCCGCGCTGCTCGGCGTCCAGCACCAGCTTCAGGGCGGCACGCCAATGGCCGCTGCACCTGCACGCGTCCACGGCGATGTCGTAGAAACCCACGCCCGGCGCCTCCCGGCTCCCGCGCATGTCCGCGAGCAGCTGGAAGGCGCCCCTGCCACAAGACGACGCCAGCCACGCACCTGCACCGACCCTGGCCTAGGGACAAGGGAAGGCGACACCAGCACCGCCAGGGCGAAGAGATGCGAGGAGCAAGGGGGGGTCTCCGTGGTGGTGTGGTCCCCCCCTCTCGCTCGAGACATCCCCCGAGGCATCGTGGACCTCCTCGCTGGAGGTGGCCCCTCCGGTGGTGTTGGTGACGCTTCTCCTCCCTCCCACGCACCTACTGGAGGGAAAAACGCGACCATGGCCAAGACTGAACGCGGACACGTCGTGTCGATATTGGCCACCGTCCATCTTGGGCAGCGCAATTTCGTGGATCATCCTCGCGCATCGGCGACGGCCGACGTGGACCATGACCAAGGCCGCGGCAACAAAACCCCCTGACATCTTGGTCATGGTCCCCGTGGTCCTTCCCTCGACCTGCTCCGATCCTGGCCAGAAGCCCACCCGGGGCTCATCGGCCTCGGTGTGCGCACGCGCCCTCCCCGGCCCGGGCAGCGAGGCCGAGCGCACCGGCCCTGAGCACACACGGCCAAGGGCCCACGGGCCAGGACCGGCGTGGGCGGTACACGGCTCCTCGGGACCGGAGATCTACCGACCCGGGTCAGTGCAAGCCCGGGTCAGTCAGGCCCTGCAGGATCCTGCGGGATCTTGCACCCGAGCCCGGGTCGATGCGCCCCTGGCTCTGCTGCAGGATCCTGTGGAAACAGATCTAAGTTAAAATCTGTTATACCTAAAATATTTGTCTCACCCATATTAATTGAATCCCATTCAAAATTAGTTCAACTAACATGAATAACTGAATTCTTCCATTCAGGAGCCGGCGCTCTGACTGACCCCCGTTTGCATGGACCCCCGTCTCCGGAGTCCGGAGGGGAAGCCAAAGAGACACACAGGCACCGCTAGCCGCCAGTCGGAAGAACGAGCCCCACTCCACCTCACTCGAGGGGGCGACGCCCAGTCGTCTCGGCCAGCGGCTCGCCACTGGAGATGGCGCTGCTCTTCTGGCAGCACCTCCTCGTCCAAGCCTCGCGTGACAGATGGGGCGACGATCAAGAACGCGGTCACGCTAGCCGCCAGTGGAAACAGGAAAGTCGGCGGCGAGCGAGGAAATTCGGCGGCGAGCGACACAGACACTTCTCAGAAGGCGGCGGGACTTCTCAGAAGCCCTCCCGCCTTCTGAGAAGTGTCTGTGTCTTCGGGAAGGCTTAGACAAACTTCTCAGAAGGCCGAAGGACTTCCAAGCCTTCTGAGAAGGCCCGCCCCTTCTCACGTCCCCCCCTCGCCCACAGCCGAGAAATAGAAAAGCAGATACAGTCAACTGGATTGTGTCCGACTAAGAAAACAACTCAAACATACCGTATCTGTGGTTAAATCAGGAACGCGCTTGAAATAGACTGGGATCTGGGAGCCCGAAAATACCTACTTTCAACGACGGCGTGAACTTCCCAGACCTCTCCCGAGGTCCGTTCGGACCAGAATTTCCCGGCGAGTCCAGCAGTAGAGACGAGGGCTTCCCAGGAGGCCCGAAAAGACGAGAACGAGACAAGGACAGCAGTATTGATACCTCCTCCTCCCCTGAGGATCGGTGCAGGTGGTATGCTCCGTGCCCTGCAGCCTCCAGTGCTTTCCATCCATGCACGCCAGCAGGCCCAGCCTCTGCGCAACCGCGGGCGACGCGCGCCCCCCCGCCCCCCCCTGCGCTCTCCCCGCCCCGACAGCCCAGGCGATCGGGCGCAGGTGGCCACGGCTGACGGACGACACATGGACACTGCTGACGGACAAAGCATGGACACGAGAACGACTATCAAGAACACGAGCCCCCTCCTCCTCCTCCTCCTCCTCCTCCTCCTCCTCCTCCTCCTCCTCTTCCTCCTCTTCCTCCTCCTCCTCCTCCTCCTCCTCCTCCATGGGCCTCCGAGATGGGGTCGGAGTAGATGGGGTCGTAGGATCACGCCGCCGCATCCCCGATGCATTGCCCGTGCATCGTCGACGTCGGCGGTGCATCGGCGACGCCAGCGTGGAGCAGATCGGGCTCCACATCGAGCCGCATCGCCGATGCATCGGCGATGCGGCGCCATCTTTCGACCCCGTGTGCTCGTGCCCCCTCTGGGAGGCCCAGACCTTCGCCCAGAGCCCGAGGCCCGAGGTGGAGACGCCGGCCGAAGGCCATGTTCCAGGCTGGCGAGCCCGAGCACGAAGAACATCCAGGTACCCCTCCAAAACTGCGGCTGCTCTTATCGGGTCGGGCGAAAGGGGGGGATAACAAAGGGGGGGGGTGAGAATCGGCTCACGCAGCTGATTTTCCCGGCGCCTCCCGGCGCCGGAGGCGGCTATGTATCGAGGAGTGGGCCCCTCGGTGAGGCCGAAACCAGCTGCATGCAGCAAATTTCGTAACCCCCCCTTTCCCAATCCCCCCCCTTCGTCTGGCCCGATCTTACCCCTCGCTCCAGCTGGACGAGCCCTCGGATCTGGCGCGCGGGCGACAGCTCACACGGACTGGCGAGTGCTCCACCGCGAAGCGTGGGGCCACTGCCGCCCGATTCCTCCTCCTCCTCCTCCTCCTCCTCCTCCTCCTCCTCCTTCTCCTCCTCCTCCCCCTTCCTCCTCCTCCTCCTCCTCCTCCTCCTCCTCCTCCTCCTCCTCCCCTCCCCTCCTCCTCCTTCCCTTCCTTCTCCTCCTCCTCCCCTCCACTTCCTCCTTCCCCTTCCACCTCCTCCTCCTCCTCCTCCTCCTCCTCCTCCTCCTCCTCCTCCTCCTCCCCTTCTTCCTCCTCCTCCTCCTCCTCCTCCTCCTCCTCCCCTCCTCATCCTCCTCCTTCCTTCCTCCTCCTCCCCTCCTCCTCCTCCTCCTCCTCCTCCTCCTCCTCCTCCTCCTCCTCCTCCTCCTCCTCCTCCTCCTCCCCCTTCTTCCTCCTCCTCCTCCTCCTCCTCCTCCTCCTCCTCCTCCTCCTCCTCCTCCTCCCCCTCCTCCTCCTCCTCCTCCTCCTCCTCCTCCTCCTCCTCTCCTCCTCCTCCTTCTCCTCCTCCGCCTCCTCTTCCTCTTTCACCTCCTCCCCTCCTCCCTCCCTTCCTCCTCCTCCTCCTCCTCCTCCTCCTTCTCATCTTCCTCCTCCTCCGAACGGACCTGGTCGCAAATCCACGCTGGCCCTGATCCATGGCTCGCGGTGGCCCTCGGGAGACATTGGGCAGCGACTCCCCGCTCCCGAGCCCCACGCCCGAAGGAGGCAGTGGGGAGCTCTTCGGCGGATGAGGGAAACACACGCTCGAGCGTGCAGGGAAGAGGAGAACATGATGAGGGCGCGATGGGTATGGGATCGAGTTGTCGAACCCCGATGGGGGCTCCCATTCGACCAAGGACCCCCATAGCCCCCAGGAATTCCACCCCGAGAAATCCAGGCGTCGCATAGATATGAGTGCTAGTTGTCAACTCATGACCGGAGCAGAAACTCGCAGCGAGGGGGCGGGGGGATAATAGGGGAGGTCGACCAGAGTCCGCCGACTCCCACTTGCCAGAGGTGCAGCGACGTGTGATATGATTGGCTGTCCACCTCCCCAATTTCCCCCTCCCCTGGGGTCTGGAATCTGGTTAGACTTAAAGTCGGGCCTGTCCCCCTACAGGGGGATTTTCGCGAAAAAATTAAAATATTAAAGATACCCCAAACATAATCCAAAAATAATGCAAAAATCGTCTGGGAACTATTTTGTGAGTAGTTGTTGACCTTTTGGGGGTAGGTTTGGGGTATTTTTTATTTGTCGTCGAAAGTCCCCCTGCAGGGGGACACGCCCGACATAACTCTGGGGTCTGGAAGCTGCTTAGAGGGGGGGGGACCCGGGGGGGGGCCAGCAGGCAGGGTGTCCGAGCTCACCAACGCTCCCAAGAGGCCTCCGCAATCTCCATGTCTCTACACTCCGCGCCCCCCAAAAATGCCTGAGAGTCGATCTGCGCTTGCTCAAGCAGGGCTCCAACGCGCACAGGACTCCTCCAAGACCACCCAGATGGCCTCAAGACTGCCCAAGAGGCCTCAAAGACGCTCTAAAAGGGCGGCTCCAAGACGACCCCCGGGAGGGCCCCCAAGAAGTACGAATCGTCCAATCCCATCGAAAAACGTACGAGTTGACCATATTCGCATTGTCGGTCTCGACAGCATCCAAGACGGCTCAAAAGGCCCCTGTGATCGCTCCCAAGCGGCCCAAGAAGACCCCAAGAGGGCCCCAAGCGGCCAAACAGCCGCCCAAGATGGCCCAAGAGAGCCCCGACACCCAACAGGGCCTCAGGAGGGGCCCAGAGAGGCAGCTCGAACTGACATCCCGAGCCCTCCGCTCCAAGAGGACCCCACGACCGCCGGCCCGCCAGCAGAGGCCCCAAAGAGGCCCCCGATGAGGCCAACCAAAAGAGGCCCCTGGGGGTTCCCGAAGAGGCCGAAGAGGGCCTCACCCGTGGACTCCGTCCCTCTTCTGGTGGTCGGCGGAATGGCGTAAGTCTCTTGATCGGGAGCGGCAAAGAGGGGGGCGTCCAAGAGGTGGGGGGGTGCAAATCATGACAAGGCGGCATGTGCGCGGCCCAGCGGGGGGGCCAGGGACGTAATGGAATAAGAAGAGGCGCCATGAAATCTGATGAAATATCATGGGCCCCGCCATGATATCCACCCCCCCCTAGTCATCACCCCCCTCTGTGCCGCCCCCGACTTGATCAAACCCAAGATGCATCAAAGATGCTGCAGCGCACCGTCCCGTCCCGAGTCACCCCCTCATCAGTCCCTGCAAGTGTCCTTTTTACTACGGAAGCCGAGCCCTCGAAAGGCGAGCGGCTCACGAGCATGCCGTCCACGCGATGGCCACGCTTTGAAAATAAGCCGCCCTGGAGCCTCAGAATGATTCAAAATGTTGATGCGAAGGAACATGCAAAGGGTCGAGCGAGGACCACTGCTTGGGAGAAAGACCACCTTCTACAAACTGCTCATTCTAAGCTTTCGAAACAGGGACCTTCCGGCCTCACGACCTGTGCGACGATACTTAAGACGAAACCAAGACCTAGACAAATCCAGACCGGGACAAATCGTGGATCTCTAGATCTGGCGGCGCTGAAAGATGTGTTGGTCGCCACGGTCGTCCCAGAAGAAAAACCTGCTGCTTTATTCGAAGACATGTCACCCGGACGAACTTATCAAAGACGCATTTACCTGAACGAGATCGTCGGGATAACTTATTCTGGACGAGCTAATCCGAGGACGAGCTCATCCGAAGACGAATTTACCCAGAGACGAAACTGAACGCAGACTAGATCATCCGGACTAAATCATCCAGAAAACTCCATCCGGACGAGCTCGTCCAGAAGAACGTTCGTTTGGACGAGCTCGTCGCGGGAGATATCGTTCAGGATGAACTGGTCGTCTCGTCCTCCGTTAAAGAGCGTTGTGGAACGCTCCGAGGGCGTTCCGCAGAGCTGTGACACGGGTTGTCCCGGTCCCGGGCCCGCCCAGGCTCTCCAGGCGGGGGAGCCAGTCACGGGGGAGAGGGGTGGAGGAGCAAGGATTCGGACGCCGATGAAGCTGGGAGCCTGTCAGCAGGGCAGGCACGCCGCCACGCGCAGGACGCGGCTTCACGCCAAGGCAGACAGCACAGCGCAGCGGCAAGTGCAAGGTGCATCACAAGTCATTGACAAATGTCGGGCCCTGCCTTCGTTCGAAAAAGGACAACCTGACGCGGCAGTCCTTGCTTGCCTTAGTGGGCATGGGTATCTGCGGCCGAGACCCAGGGAGAGGAGGAAGGGAGAGGAGGCAGGGGGGGAGCAGTCCTCCATCCTGCTGAGCATTGCATCCAAAAACCCAAAGCGCGCTGCACTCAGGCGAAAGCACAATTTTTTAAAACGACCCATGCTCAATGCCAATGCGCTAAACTGTGGCATGAGTTTGAGGTGCATGTCGCGGCGCTAGAACGAGAGCCTCCTGTTGCGAAAACAAAACGAATGAGCACGGCTGCGGCGAAACACACATTTTGGAAAACGACCCCTCTTCCCTGCGTGAAACTGTTGCAGACGCATAGGAAGACTATGCACGGCGCTAAAGCGAGAACCACAATTTTCTGTTCAAAACAGCTTCCGCGACACCTTTGAAGAAGTTGCAGGCCTCTGCAAGCGAATGAGCGCGACGCTGAGGCGAGAAACCCATCAAAGAACGCCCCCCTTCCATCCCAGATACTGTTACAGAGGCGAGAACCACATTTTGAAAAGGAACCACCTTACATCCGTGACGCGCTGCTAATCTCTAGACCAAGACGATCTTGACGATAAAACGATAACCACATTATAAAAAACAAACAAAACACAAAAAAACGCCACCCTTACATCTGCGCAACTCCTGCAAACTCTTACAACTCATGGGTGCGGCACGAGCGCGAGAACTACATTATGACAACGACCAATGCTCCATCCTGTATATACTTGCAAGCTTTTCAGACGAATGTGCGCCGCACTAAAGCGATAACCACATTTTGAAAACGGAACCCACCTCAACTGGTGAAACTGTTGCCCAAATTAAAACAAATATGTTCGGCGCAATGGCGAGAGCTCGGCGCAGGGGCGAGAACCGCATTTTGAAAACGTCGAACTCCATCCGTGAAGCTGGCGCAAACTGTTAAGATGAATGCGCACGGCGCAAAGCAAGAACCACATTTTGAAAACGCCCCCACGTCATCCGTGAAGCTGTTACCACTTTCAAGCTTCGGGATCATAAATGGTGAGCAGGTCTCAAGAGAAACGCCCGGCCCGCCCTACCAACACGCCTGGGGGTGCAACAGGAAGGAGCTATTTACAAGAAGGGAGAATGGAGGCGAGGAGGACTAGACTGGACCGGTCCAGACTGGGCGATGACCAAGTAAGGTTCCCGGAACCCTTCGGGGAGGGTTGTCGGAGGGCTTCGGGAAGATTCCTGTCGTGAGGGAAAAGTTCCCAGCGAACCCTGGACTTTCTCAGTCTCTCCTTGCAGTTGCTGTTAAACTTTTAAGACTACAGTTCGCGGCGCTGAGGAGAGAGCCGTACGCTGAACATCACCTGTGCTCTATCCTTGCAGGCTATGCGAAATTGTACAAATTCTGAGCGCCCAACGCAACTGGGAAAAAAAAAGCAATTCTGAAAACGAAAACCCCCCAATCACAGAAACTGCTGCAACTCTCAACATTCAGGATCATACATGATGAAGAAGTCTCAAGCGAAACGCCCGGCCCGCCCTGCCGACACGTCGTGGGGCGCGGCAGGGAGGAGCCATCTACAAGAAGCAAGGATGGAGGCGAGGAGGACTGGAATGGACCAGTCCATATTGGGCTATGACCAATTGAGGCTCCAATGCCTCATGAGGGGTGACTCACACGCATATTGAAGCACTTATACCCCAAAACTGAGCTGGGGCATTCTGTGCGCGCTAGACTCTAGACATCGCCAGGAGGAGGAGGAGGAGGAGGAGGAGGAGGAGCAGGAGTCGCGAGGAGGATGGGCAGCGGGCTGCATGAGAAGGAAGCAGGCAAGACGAGACAGGGAGGAGAGGGGGAGCAGAGAGGAGGAGGAGGAGGAGGAGGAGGAGGACGCAGATGGAGCAGTGGAGAGGAGGAGGCAGAGGAGGTTGGAGACAGAAAGAGACCAGATGACGGGGAAACCAGAAAGATACCGATACCGTCGGGGCGTCCACCCAAGAAACCCAAGATAAGGAACGAGGCCCCTCTTCTCAAGAAGTGAAACTTCGCCTTCCCACCGAAAACCTGAGGAAAACCCCAGGCAGACTGTGAAACAGTCAGGGAACACCGAGCCCCTCCCCAACGAAAAGACTTCCTGCTTCAGCGCCCCGACTGTACCGCTACTCTTAAGTCGGGCCTGTCCCCCTACACGGGGATTGTCGACGAAAAATAAAAAAATACCCCATGAAAAATGCAAAAATAATCAAACAATAGTCTGGGGACTATTTTTTGAATATGGTTTTGCCTGTTTGGGGCATCTTTGGGGTATTTTTTATTTTTCGTCGACAATCCCCCTGTAGAGGAACACGCCCGACCGTACCGCTACTTCCGGGACCTCCCCGGGCGAGTTCGGACATTGGCCTCTGGGCGACTCCGGCCGTGGCCATGCGGGGCCTCCCGGGAGGGGAAGGAGGAGGAGAGAGGAGGAGGAGGGGGAAGAGGAGGAGGAGGAGGAGGAGGAGGAGGAGGAGGAGGACGAGGAGGAGGAGGAGGAGAAGAGGAGGAGGAGGAGTGTAGGAGGAGGAGGAAAGGAGGAGGAGAGAGGAGGGGAGGAGGAGTAGGAGGAGGAGGAGGAGGAGAGGAAGAGAGGAGGGAGGAGGAGGAGGAGAGGGAGGAGGGAAGGAGAGAGGAGGAGGAGGAGGAGGAGGAGGGAGGAGGGGGGGGAGGAGGAGGAGAAGAGGAGAGGAGGAGGAGGAGGGGAGGAGGAGGAGGAGGAGGAGGAGGAGGAGGAGAGGAGGAGGAGGAGGAGAGAGGGAGGAGGATGAGAGGAGGAGGCGGAGGAGGGAGGGAGGAGGAGGAGGAGGAGGAGGAGGAGGAGGAGGGAGGAGGAGGAGGGAGGAGGCGGAGGGAGAGGAGGAGAGGAGGGTAGGAGGAGGAGAGGAGAGAAGAGGAGGAGGGAGAAAGAGGAGGAGGATAGGAGGAAGAGGAGAGGAGAGAAGGAGGAAGAGGAGGAGAGAGGAGGAGGAGGAAGAGGAATCGCTCGCTACACGGATTCTCTGGCCCCCAGCCTCGTCAGCCGGTACAGGTCCGAGCTGGGGCTGCCAATCTCACGGCCCACGTTGGCGTCGACCTCCAGGCCGCTCGCAACCGCCGCCTCTCACGGGGAGCACGACGGAGCAGGCTGCCAGAAGCAACCGAGTCGCAGAGGGGGAGGGTGGTGGGGGGAGGGGAGACCTCAGGGTTCCAGGGTGACGACAACGCGCTCCGACACACGGGGCAGGAACCCAATGAAAAGATGTGGGGTCGAGGGGCCAACTAGCCCTGCATCGGCCGACTGAGAGGGATGGGACGGTGAGATTCGCCCTCCCGATCACCCATCTGGTGGGCCCCCTCTTCTGCAACATGGACCTACGCTTATACTTTCCGGAACGGGGGAGGCGAAGAAGGGCCAAGACGCCCATAGAGCAACGAAAAGCATCAATTGGCGGATCGGGGGCGAGCCAGAGGGGGGCGTCCAAGAGGGGGGGGGGGGGGGGCAAATCATGACCAGCGACATGTGCGCGGCCCAGGGGGGGGGGCCAGTGACGCATTGCAACAAGAAGAGGCGCCATGACATCTGGGGAGATCGCATGGCCCCCGCCATGGTATCCCCCCCCCAAGTCATCACCCCCCCTCTTTGCCGCCCACGACGCACAAACTGGCGGAGCTCCACGAGGACTTCTTGGATCGGTGCTGGGCCCCCCTGGCGACGCCTCCGACGCCAACCCTGGCGTGCTCCCGGCGCCAGGGAGGGGGGGCCCAGCGCCCTTTCCGAGGAACCCGCACGGGCACCCAAAGTTCATGTCTATGCCGCTTCCCCTTCTTCCCTTTCCTTCCCCTGCCTCTGGGGAGCGCTCTCGCGCCCCGGCGCCGTCCAAAAACTACTTGGGATGAAGATGAAGAGCAAGAAGAACAATAATTAGGAAAATAAGAAGAAGAAGAAGAAGAAGAAGGCGTCCGACGGAAGGGGTCAACAGTTCAGGGGCTGGGACTCCGCGTTGAAAGAAGATCAACGCTATCGGCGGTCTGGGGGGAGGGTGGGGAAGTCAGGTGTGCCGGGAGGAAAGGGAAAAGAGGGTTAGCGCATCATGGCCCGAGGCGCGTGCGCGGAACAGGGAGGGCCAGGGGACGTGTGGAAAGGAGTGGGGGCCGTGATATTTGGGAGATGCCATGAGCCCCGGCCATCATACCCACGAGCCCTAGTCTTAAGTCGGGCCTGTCCCCCTACAGGGGGATTTTGGGCGAAAAATTAAGAATAGTCCAAAAATTCCCCGAAATGCTCAAAAATTGTCAAAACATAGTCCTCAGACTATTTTTTCTACTATTTTTGAAATTTTCCCCCTGTAGAGGGAGAGACCCGACTTAACCCTAGTCTTCACGCCCCCCTCGAAGCCCCCGCGGGGTCCCACGCCGGGGGGCCCGCAGCGCGAGCGGGTGGCTTCTGTGGGCAGCGGGGTTCTCTGGGGGCACTATACTCCTTGACAAGAGAGCCCGAATCGAATCGACAAGTCGGATCAGCGATCGAAGCGCATCGCATCGGCGGAACTCGGCACCCGAGCCGGGAAAAGTCGAATCGGCGGACATCGGCAGGCCAGTAGGCATCGGAGCCCGAATCGCCATCCCAGATCGCATCGAATCGGAATCGGAGCCATCGAAACCGAATCGAAGCGAGCCCAGCCTTGGCCACTCCCGGCCCCACCTGCGGCGGGGCGCCGCTCGGGGAGAGTGAGGGGCGCACATCGGCACGGCAGGGCCTCCGGGGGCGACACGCGGCCGTGCACTCCTTTCGCGTCGGCGGCGGGGCAGAGGGACTGCGCTGGCGGAAGGGCAAAAAAAGGCTGGACGAAGAGCTGCGAATTGCAGTCGGGGCGTTGACCTCAGGAACCCTAAATAAGGAACGAGGCCCCTTTTTCCCAGAAGTTGAACTTCGATTTCCCATCGAAACCCTGAGCAAAACCAATGGCGAACTACAAAACAACTGAGGAACACCGAGCCCCTCCCCAACGAAAAGGGTTCCGTCCTCAGCGCCCCGACTGTAAGCCGCGATGCACGGGGGTCGGGGATCCTCTGACCCGGGTCAATCCAGACCCGGGTCCGTCAGGCCTGGCAGGATCCTGCAGGGTCCTGCAGGATCCTGCACCCAAACCCGGGTCAGCGCGAAGGATCCTGCAAGATCCTGCAAGATCCTGCACCCAAACCCGGGTCAGTGCGACCCTGGCCCTGCGGGATCCTGCAAGGCCGGGCGCTCTGGCTGACCCCCGCTTGCGTTGACCCCCGTCTCAACTCTCCCGAGGGGGGAGGAGAGGGCACGTCCGGCGACGGCGGGGAGGAGGGGAGAGCCGGGCCCGCTCACAGCGGGGCCAGGCGGCGGAAGGGGGGCCCAGCCGTGCACTCGCGCGCACGCTGCAGTTCTGCGCCCGTGGAGTGGCGGGGGGAGGGAGCCTGCAGCTCCTTGAGGAGCTGCAGCACCATCTCCCACTGCTCGCCCTCTCTGCAGGCGCTCATGGCGAGGTTGTACGACACCTTGTCGACCGCGAGCGGCCCCATGTCGCTCAGCAGGTGAAGGGCACGCTGCCACTGCCCGCTCTTGATGCACGCGAGCACGGCGACGTTGCAAGCCTATGGGGGGGCGGGACGACAAGACACCGACATCTGGTGTCCGTTAGGGGCCCTTCGGGGCCCCTTTCCCTTCCAGGCCCAGGTCCCCGCAGTCCTCGACTTCCCTTGCCTCCCACCCCCCCTTGCCGTCCACCGGCAATACCGCTGCTTCCCAGACCTCTGCAGAGAGGCGTTCCGACCAGAACTTCGAGGCGGGCCCAGCCATGGCGACGAGAACCTCCCAGGAGGCCCAAAAGAAGGCGAAAGCCTGGCAAGTGCGGCGGCACCCAGACAGCCGACGTCATTTGCTCCCAACCGTTCTGTGGTGTTGGGTCCTGGTTTTGCAGAGACGGCACCGCGCGTCCCCCCCCTCCTCCTCCTCCTCCTCCTCCTCCTCCTCCTCCTCCTCCTCCTCCTCCTCCTCCTCCTCCTCCTCCTCCTCCTCCTCCTCGCTTCTCCTCCTCCTCCTCCTCCTCCTCCTCCTCCTCCTCCTCCTCCTCCTCCTCCTGCTCCACATTCCCCTCCTCCCTCCCTCCTCCCATCATCAGCATATCAGCATCGTCATCGTCATCGTGATCGTCGTCATCATCAGCAGCAGCAGCATCACCATCATCATCATCATCATCATCATCATCATCATCATCATCATCAGCAGCATCAGCATCATCATCAGTATCATCAGCATAATCATCATCATCATCATCATCATCATCATCAGCAGCATCATCATCATCAGCAGCATCATCATCAGCATCATCAGCAGCATCAGCATCATCGTCATCATCATCATAATCGTCATCATCATCACCATTATCATCATCATCATCATCATCATCATCATCATCATCATCATCATCATCATCATCATCATCATCATCATCATCACACCATCATCATCATCATCATCATCATCATCATCATCATCATCATCATCATCATCATCCTCATCCTCATCCTCATCCTCATCCTCATCCTCATCCTCATCATCAGCAGCATCATCATCAGCATCAGCATCAGCATCATCATCAGCATCATCATCAGCAGCATCATCATCAACATAATAATCAGTGTCATCAGCTGCATCATCATCAGCATCATCAGTATTATCAGGTCCATCAATATCATCATCATCATCAGAAGCATCATCATCATCAGCATCACCATCAGCAGCAGCATCATCACTAGCATCAGCATCATCATCATCACCACCATCATCAACATCATCAACAGCATGGCTGCCACCATCATCATCATCATCATCATCAGCAGCAGCAGCAGCAGCAGCCTCAGCATCATCATCAGCATCAGCAGCATCAACATCAAAAACATCAGCATCAACATCACCATCATCAGCAGCAGTACCATAAAGGCCGTCATCATCACCATCATCATCACCATCATCGTGATCGTCTTCGTCACACCCCTCACAAGTTTCGTGGCCCCATGAAGAGCTCCACCTAAGGTCACAGTGGCGCAGTCCGCATGGCGGCGCCGCCCCATCTTGGCACCCTCACACGTTTCGTGGCCCAATAGGGCGCTTCACCTGAGGTCCCAATGGCGCAATCCACATGGCGGCGCCGCCCCATCTTGGAACGCCCCTCACACGGAACGTGGCCCCATAAGGAGCTCCGCCTAACGTTCCAGTGGCACAATCCGCATGGCGCCGCCGCCCCATTTTGGCACACCACTCACACGTTTCGTGGCCCCATGGGGAGCTCCACCTAAGGTCCCAGTGGCGCAGTCCGCATGGCGGCGCCGCCCCATTTTGGCACACCCCTCACACATTCCGTGGCCCCATGGGGAGCTCCGCCTAAGGTCCCAGTGGCACAGTCCGCATGGCGGCGCCGCCCCATCTTGGCACACCCCTCACACGTTTCGTGGCCCCATAAGGAGGTTCCACCTAAGGTGTCCGCTGCGCAGTCCGCATGGCGGCACCGCCCCACTTTGGCACACCCCTCACACGTTTCGTGGCCCCATGGGGAGTTCCGCCCTGCTCCTCCTCTACCCATCCTCCTCTGTGTCCATGTCCGTCCTTTGTACTTGTCCGTTTGCTGGCCCCCTCCTCCATCTCACCTGCATCGCGATACTCGCAACTCCCCCTCCTCCGCCCCCTCATATTTCTCCACCTCCTCTTCCTCTTCCTCCTCCTATTGATCCTCATCCTCCGTCCTCGCGTCCCTGCTTCGTTCCTCCACATCGTTATCGCCATCATCGCCGCTCGCCAATCGCACGCTTCGTGGTCCCATAGGGAGCTTCACCAACGGCCCCAGTGGCAGCGTCCGCATGACGCCCCCGCCCCATTTCGGCACATCAATCACACATGTTCTGGCCCCATAAAATGGGGCTCTACATCAGGCCCCAGTAGCAGCGCCCGCATGGCGGCCCCGCCACGTTTGAGCACACACTTCACGCGCTTCGTGGCCCCATAAGGAGATCCACCGAAGGCGATATTAACAACGACGGCATTCACAACCGCACATGGTTGGGTCCTTCGCCAGGCTGAACATTTGGAAACGCGGCTCCCCAGAGAGGTCTGGAACCCTTCCTGGGGGTACTACTACTACTACTACTACTACTACTACGACTACTACTACTACTACTACTACTACTACTACTACTACTACTACTACTACTACTACTACTACTACTACTACTACTACTACTACTACTACTCTACTCTACTACTACTACTACTACTACTACTACTACTACTACTACTACTACTACTACTACTACTACTACTACTGACTACTACTACTACTACTACTACTACTACTACTACTACTACTACTACTACTACTACTACTACTACTACTACTACTACTACTACTACTACTACTACTACTACTACTACTACTACTACTACTACTACTACTACTACTACTACTACTACTACTACTACTACTACTACTACTACTACTACTACTACTACTACTACTACTACTACTACTACTACTACTACTACTACTACTACTACTACTACTACTACTAGTACTGCCCGCTCTTCGTTCTGACCCGGGGCCTCGGGGCCCAGCGCAGGCCCCTCGATGCAGAACAATGGTGAAACAAATCCGCTATATTTTCCATCACTCGAGAGGAAGTCAGACATCGAATAACTATCGGCCTGCAGCATGCAGCGCGTGGGTGCCGCCTGGTGGGGCCGAAGCGCCCCATACGCCTCGCACTGCTTGAACACCCTCTGGGGCCCCCCCATCTGACAAAGGCCGCCGTTGGGAAGCCGGCCTTCTGTCTCAAATGGACAACATCCGCGGCGACGCCGACAGCGAGCCCAGTTCAAAACGGACAGGAACTGGTGTCGGTCTTCTTGCCCATTCTTTGCTTGTCCATTCCAATCGTGCCGACTCTTGGCCACTCCCCCGAGCGTTGCTTTCGGGCCATAGCTCAAGCTCTGGCGGCCGTCCGGGACCATCCGAACACCACCGGAACGCCCACAGCGAGGCGCAGCTGCTGGAACGCACTCCGACATTGGAAACCCGCCGGGGACCGACGAACGCGCCCGAAACACACGAAAACCTCCAACGCCCAGACCGCCCCCCCTAAGTTCTGGGCCCCCCGATCTGGAGGCCTGGGCGTCGGGCTCCAACCCAGCGCGCTCCATGTCACGCAGGAGCTGCAGCGAGTGCTGCCACTGCCCGGCCCGCCGGCAGGCGACCATGGCCTCTCGGCTGGGAGCGGGCGCTAACGAAGAGGGCGGCGGAACGCACGCTGCAGGAGAAGACGGGGAGCAGGAGGCTCATCCTTTTCCTCCTCCTTTTCCTCCTCCTGTCCCTCCTCCTCCTCTTTTTTCATATCCTCCTCCTGCTCCTCTTCTTCCTCCTCCTGCCCCTCCTCCTCCCCATCCTCCATCCTTTTCCTTATACATAATTTATCCCTGTCGCACCCGATGCCATTTTTTAAGGCGGTCCAGGCGTTTCGCCTGACTTCCTCACCACTTATTACCCTGAAGCTTACATTGACAACAGCTTCACAGATGGAGGGCGGGTCGCTTTCCGAATGTGGCTCTCGCCTTGGCGCCAGGTGCATTCTTTGAAAAAATTGCAAATGCAGGGCGGATCGTTTTAAAAATGTGGCTGTCGCCATAACGCCGCGAACATTCGTTATAAACAGTTGCAAGACTTGCACACATTGAGGGCGGGTCATTTTCAAAATGTGGTTATCGCACTAACGCCGCGCACATTCGTTCGAAAACTTTACAAGAGCTTCACGGATTGAGGGCGGCTCCTTTTCAACATATGGCTCTCGCCTTAAGGCCGCGCACATTCGTTCTAATGATTTTCAAGAGCTTCACGGGTTTAGGGCGGCTCCTTTTCAAAATGTGGTTCTCGCCTTAACGCCGCGCACATACGTTTTTCAAATATGTTCCCATAACCACCGTATCAGCAATGTTTGTGTTTATTTCTGCGAGGATTCCGGATTACGTATGAGGGCGCACCAGTGACATTGATTCGCGGTGTTGGAAGCCCCAGAAAAAAAACGTGTTGGCAGGATTTGGGGTCGCCAAGACGAAACAATCAGGTTGATCCGTGGCGTTAGAATCCCGAAAACTATGTTTTGGCACGCGCCAGGGTCTTCCAACGGTTGTTTTCCAACGAGGTAGTTCCCTCAGTGGAAACCAACCCTTGTAGGGCCCTGTGAAGAGGGAGCTTGGAAGCAGGGTTTATTCCAACATCGTTGATGACTCTTCGGTTTACCCTGGCCTCCCTCGACCTCCTCCCCCTCCCCCTTCCCCTGCTCCTGCTCCTGCTCCTCCCCCTCCTCCTCCTCCTCCTCGTCGTCGTCGTCCTCTTCCTCCTCCTCCTCCTCCTCCTCCTCCTCCTCCTCCTCCTCGTCCTCCTCTTCCTCCTCCTCCTCCTCCTCCTCCTCCTCCTCCTCCTCCTCCTCCTCCTCCCTCCTCCTCCTCCTCCTCTCCTCCTCCTCCTCCTCCTCCTCCTCCTCCTCCTCGTCCTCCTCCTCCTCGTCCTCCTCCTCCTGCTCCTCCTCCTCCTCATCCTCCTCCTCCTCCTCCTCCTCCTCCTCCTCCTAACATCGGGCGCAGAAAATTCACACGATTACCTTGAAGGAGCTATGTGCTAAAGGAAACGAGCCTTTTAGTAAAGTGCTGTTGCTCTGTTGCACGACGGCCGCGGCGGCGCGTCCGAGTTGCCGAGCCACGTCCTGAGCTCGCACCCTGAATCATGTGTCAAGGAGCATCTACAACTCGCTAAAAACATGTCCAAGGATCGCCGCGACACAATGCAACGCGACCCTGACTACTCGAGCAAATGCATGGCAGGGTGAACTAGCGGCTGTACTAAAGCGAGGAGACGGCTTTACTAGAGCGAAAAAGCGGTTTTAGCAAAGGCGCGCCGCTCAATGCAGTCCGAAAAAACGACGTTACGAAAGCATAAGGAGAGCTTTAGACTATTGCGGAGAGACGGCTGGGGCAAAACTGCGCGCAGAAATTTCGCTCCTCCCATAACATCTGGCGCGGGACTCCAGGAACGAGGGCGGGGCGGAAGTTCGCCCGTGGGCCCGGGCCCTGTCGCCGCCGTCGCCGCGACGTTCGTCGTCGCCGCCGTCGCCGTTGCCGCCGTCGTCATCGCCGTCGGCGGCGACGCCGCCGTCGTCGTCGCCGTCGCCGTCGTCGTCGCTGCGACGCATGCGCATTCGCGTTATTGCCAGCGGCGGGTCGCGCGTGGCCGCGAGCGCCATTGCGCTCGCATGCCCGCTCCTCCGATGGGGGCCCAGGCGGACCCCTTCTTCCACCCACAACTTGTTTCAAAGAAATAGTGGGAAAAGTACGCCTCTGATCTCAGCTCCCAGAGGGTGGCACGAAATCCGCTCAGGAACTGCCATGCCGCGGCAGGAACCGTCGCCCGAGAGGGGGGATCACATCAAAAGCTGTAGAAGTAAACTAAAACACACAAAACAAAGAGGAAGCGACCCACCGACGAGCCACCCCCCAGGGGAGGGGTATCTATGGGGAAACGAGAAAGTACCGATACCGCTACTCCCAGGGTGCGTTCTGACCAGGATGTCGAGGCGAATCCAGCAGTGGCGACGAGACCCCTACAGGAGGCCCAAAAAGGGGAGAACGATGGAAGGGTAGAAAATGGGCACTTGTTCCTCCTCTGTACCCATGTCCCCCTCACCCCTGGAGGAGGGGGGAGAGGAGCAGAGAGGGGAGGCAACGTGAAAATCATAAGCTGGAAGGGGGGGGGGAAGTGGGGACGGTGGCTGCAGCTGTTGCGAGGGCGGCGGCGGGTGGCAACTGTCGCATGGTGCGGCTGTAGCCACACTCGTCCATTGAGGTGGCACTCGGGCCTCTCCCCAGCCTGCAGAGCCATCCGATGGCGGCGGCCATCGCGTGAAGTCCCTCCCCCCGCATGCCGGATCCACCGCAAACTCCACATATGGGTGACCTAGATGTGGCGCGAAGCTGCACGGTGTGGGGTAAGAAGGAAATGGAGGGTGGCAAGTGAGGCAATGGTGAGTAAGAGTGTGGCAATGGCTGGCACACTGTAAGGCGCGCGGGCTGACAGATACAACTTGCTAGTGCACAGGTCTGCTTATCAAAACTGCTGCGGCTAAAACGCAGCGGCATCGTGCCCTCCCCCTGTTTGGCAGGGCCACCTGGCCGACGCCAGGGCATCGGCCAACGTTTTGCATGGATCGGCGGCGAGCGAGGGTGAGAAATGAGAAGGAGAAGGCCTTCTCAGAAGGTTCGGAAGTCCCCAGGCCTCCCGAGAAGTTTTCACAGCCTTCCCTGAACACCAAAACAACTTCTCAGAATGCACGAGGGCTTCTGAGAAGTCCCGCAGTGAGAAAGTCTTCTCCTTCTGTTTTCACCCCTTCGCTCGCCGCCGAATGGACGGTGGAGGTGTTGCAAGAGAGGGCAGACCAGGGCAGTCGGCTGGCGAGTTGGGCTGGCTTGCAGGCTGCAGCCACCCAGGCAAACGCCGGGGTGGCCAGCGGCGAATTGCACCCCCCCCCGAGCTCCAGACTGGCTGGTCGTTGCACCGGCCTTGCAGACGTGCTCCAGCGGATTTCTGCGTGGATGTCTCTCAGCGCAACACCCCGAGATGGCGAGCGAGAAACAATGTGAATTTCACGGGGATGTTTGTTGTCTTCATTCCTGGCCCAAAAAAATCCGCACGAAATTCACTTCGAAATCCGGAACGAAATTCTCCAGGACAGTCCGGGCCCATCCTATTGCTTTCCGAAGGAAATGCGCTCTGCGATGTTGGCGCCATGAGACTGTATGGGTAGGGGGCGCTTTCAGCCTTCGAACGGGTTTGAAACGGAACTGCTCTCTTTCCAACTCCGTTTCGCTCCTCCGTGCTCTCCCTCTTCTCCACTTCTCCCTCCTCCTCCTCCTCCTCCTCCTCCTCCTCTTCCTCCTCCTTCCCCTTCTCCTTTTCCTCCTCCTCCTCCTCCTCCACCTCCACCCCCACCTCGCACCCACGAGTATCCCACCCCCCACCCACCCCCTACCCCGCCCTCACGAATTGCCTTCCTGAGTTTGGGGGGTCCCTCTGGCCAAGGGGGCCCGGAGTAAACTGCAAGGAAGAATTGCGCGGGAGCCGCTGTCGTCGCAGCCTGGGCTTCACAACTGAGATTGGGCAACGCGTCTGCGCTCGAGGGGGTGCGCCGCTCTCAGAGAACAGGAAACCGACGACGAGGCGAGACCGACCAGACCCGCATCCGCTGCAAGTGATCACCGAGTCGGCACCGCGGAACGGCACCGCAACCATGCACCCGGGGACTGCGTCAGACTCTTGAGCCGGCCCACTCTGACTGCTCCTCCTCCTCCTCCTCCCTCCTCCTCCTCCTCCTCCTCCTCCTCCTCCTCCTCTTCCTCCCTCCTCCTCCTCCTCCACATCCTCCTCCTCTTCCTCCCTCATCCTCCTCCTCCTCCTCCTCCTCCTCATCCTCCTCCTCCTCCTCCTCCTCCTCCTCCTCCCTTCTCCTCCTCCTCCTCCTCCTCCTCCTCCTCCTCCTCTTCCTCCTGGTGATCCCCCTTCGGTTCAGCGGCAGCCGAGCGGGCCTCCGTGTACGCGGGCACGTCCGGCACCAGGCGCTCGCCCGTCGGGCCCGGCCGAAAGTGCATGGTCGTCAGCACCGCCAGGGCCGACTGCCAGAGGCCCCTGATTGGCAAACGCCCAAGGTAGGGACCTCCAACAGGTCACGAGCTTGCCATCGTTCGGACGTCCATTTCCCGTGCATGTTTCGGTGTCGTGCGTGTTTTTTGTTGCTCCATGGTCCAGGATGGACGGCCTCGATGCTTCTCGCCGAGAAAAAGTGCACACGTCCGAGCGATACCGAGCCAAGGTAGGGACCTCCAACAGGTCACGAGCGCCCAGCAGTCAACTTGCATGACGATGTATCTATGTGTATGTGTATAGAGACAGATGTACAGAAATACAAACGATACAACGCATCATGGCCATGATGTCAGACATACCACTGCTAAGGACAAGAGCAACAACAATGATAATGCGATCGGTCGTAAAGATATTATGTGTGCGAGGCCGCACCAGCGTCAAGGACGCTCGCGTGATGCACCCTCTCGAAACCCACGCGATTTCATGTATGTGCGCGTAAGAACTCGTTTCGCTCCGGAGGAAATGAGACAGAAGAAGTGGGGAAGACGCCCAACAGCTGGTTCTGTCCATAGCCGACAGCGACTGCTGCTGGACATGCGACGCTTACCTCCGACGGACAGAAACAGCGACTCCTGCTCGAGGCGGACAAGCACTGCTGTTGTTGCGTATCTGTTCTATCTCGCTCCGTCTCTCTCTCTCTCTCTCGTTCTCTCTCTCTCTCTCTCGTTCTCTCTCTCCCTCTCTCGTTCTCTCTCTCGTTCTCTCTCTCGTTCTCTCTCTCTCTCTCTCCCTCGCTCTCTCCCTCCTCCTCTCGGTGAACGTGCAGCGCACATGTGTACAACCAAAAAAAATGGTACAACGTGGCCAGCGTGGGCCCCAAGTCCGCCGACCCTGCCGGCGCGTGGGAGAATGCTTGTCTTCCCAGGGGGCCACATGCGAACCCGTACCCCTGCCCCCCACGATCTCTGGGGGGGAGGGTGGGGCTCACTTCGCTCGGGAGCTCCCGAGCGAAGTGAGCCGTACCCCTCCCCCCCAGAGATCGTGGGGGGCAGGGGTAGGGTTCGCATGTGGCCCCCTACTTCCCCACGGCGTCGTCGCCTCTTCTCTCGCCATCTGTAGACTCTCTTGGCAGCCTCTGGCGGCACTCTCGACAGCCTCTATGCGGGCGCTCTTGGACCTCGCTGGACGCCGTCTTGGACCCTCTCCGGGCCACTGGAGGGCGCTCTCTGCCTATCTTTGGCGCTCTCTGACTGCCGTTCACGAACACTGGAGGAGGCCTCTTGCGAAGGGGCCCCAGGACACACAAAGAAATACACACAAATAAAAAGATTCCCCATATGTTCCTACATTTTCTGTGTTTTTGTCTTCCCCCCACTTCCCATATTTTCCCATATTTTCCTGGGAGTCGACGATTAATTGTGTCTGTGTGTTTCTTTCCCTCCTGATCTTGAGCTGTCCTCGGACGCCCTTGCAGGCATCTGGCGCCGTCTTCGAGCCGTCTGAGGGCACCTTGGACTCCTCTGCCTCCACTGTCTTCGTCGTCGCTGCCTACAGGGTCGGCGGCATCGGCCGCAAGGCCTTTGCAACATCGTGTTTCTAGCAATGCGCCTGTGTGTTGTGCAATCTGTGCGGCGAAATATATGTGGTGCAATCTGTGGTGCAACCTACGCGTTGCAATCTATGGTGTAATCACTGTGGTGCAAAGGACTGGGTGCAATATATGTGGTGCAATTTATGGTGTGCATCATATGTAAAGCAATATGTGTCGCTATGTTGTACCATATGTGGTGCAATAAGCGTTGTGCAACCTATGTAGTGCAATAGGTGGTGCACAATAAATGGGGTGCAACATATGCGGTGCAATATAGGTGGTGCAATATATGGTGTGTACTCTATAGTGTGCCATATATGTGACGCAATGTATGCGGTGCAACAGATGTAATGCAATAGATGCTGTGAGCGATGAGCAATCGGGGCGAAGGTGCGAAGCTAACGTATTGCAACGTATGTGATGCAAGGTACATGTATACCGATATACGTGTATGCAATAGTATATGTGGTGCAATAGATGTGGTGCAACATATGCGGTGCAGTAGATGTGGTCCAACATATGTGGAACCATCTATGTGGCGCAACCCTTGTGGTGCAACAGATGTGGTGCAACCTGGATGTGGTGCAACCTGTGGGGTGCAATACATGGTTTGAACAATGTGTTGTGCAGTCTATGGTATGCAGTCTATGGTCTGCGACTCGTGTGCAAGGCATGCAGTGCTGCACACGTTGCGCAATCCGTGAGGTTGTGCCATGTGTTGTGTGCAGTCTATGTGGAGCAGTCCCTGTTGTGCAACCTGCATGGTGCAACCTATGCTGTGAGCGATCGAACAGCGCGCCGCAATCGCAATGACATGCTTTCGTACACTCCATGTGGTGCGAATCCGGAGGCGGCGACGGGCGCCAGGGCGGCGACGAGGCGGCGACGGTGTGGCGACGGCGGTCGCATAGCCGCCAGACCAAAGATACGGCCCAGTTCCGCAGAACAGGAGAAAGAACTCCCAAGTGCAAGCACTGTTCGGGGAAGAACACATAGAATTCTATGCGTCCACAGTCACTGCTGCCTGACAGACCTGAGGAAAGAAGAGGGCCAAAAGAGGAGACGGATACGTGTTTGAAACGTGTTCGCTACTTTGGGGACGCCTGGAAATCCCTCCCCTCCACGGCTGAATCCACCACGAACTTCTCGACAGAAGGCATCCTCGAAGAGGTCCGGAGGTTCGATGTTGAGGTGGAGGGCCAAGCCCTGTGACGTCAAGAACCAAGCGCGACGGCCGTTTGTTCCAGCTGCTTCTTGGCATCTGGAAGCCCGTCTCGGGCAAAGGGGACCTCAAACAAAAACTGCCCCGAGACACAAACCCGTCCCTGTCGAAATCCAAGGCCCCACGTCATGGAAAAAAACATGACGTCGGATGCCTGGGGAGGAGGAGGAGGAGGCGGAGAGGACGAGACTTACGTCATGATGCGATTGGCTCAAGATTCATCCTGGAAATCTTTAAACGTCTCATTATCAGGACCTCGTGCTCTTGCCATCGCTCCGACGTCCATTCCCCGCTTGTTGTTTGGTTTTGTGCGCGTCTGTTTGTCAAGATGGTCCAAGATGCTCCAAGATGGTCCTGATGTTCTGGTGCTGGCATCGCTAAAACACACACACACACATCTGAGCGATACCAAGTCCTCCGAGAGGAGGACAAGTCTTGACCCTTTAGGAATGATGTTCCACGAGAAATATGAGGGCGGCTTTGAGGGGGATCAAATCAGATCAGACGCCAACAGTGGTATGTGTATATTTATGTGTATATACATACACCACTTTGCGAAGACACTTGAACACCGTAGGACCGACGGAGAAGCCGCGAAATCCTGACGATCCTGAAGGGGAGGGTGCCGAGGAGGGCTTTCGAAGGTGCTCAGGCGCTTCCGGAGACATCTGACTCGTTCCCACAGGTTTGCGGAGGTGTCTGGAGGGAAGCGAGGATCAGGATGAGGGCGACGAGGAGGAGGAAAACAGGCCTCAAGGTTCCATGAGGCCCCCAGAGGCCCGGATACGGATACGGATACGGATCGCCCGTGCGGGCATGCGCCCGGGCCCCTTAAAGGCGAGGCGGGTGAGGCCATGGCATCGCATGAGAAGCTGCGCGCGTCGGGGGTCTACTCAGGACAATGTGTACTTCAGGAGCTGATTTCCCGACAGTCCCCACTTCAGAGGCCCAGAACGAATCAAAGACACAAAACCCTTTCCAAAGCTGGCCTAGGCAGGCCTCAACCAACCCGCGCGAGAGATCGAAGCAGACGGACCTGCGGCGCGCCTCCGCGCCTCGCATCATCATCACTACTATCGCCCCCGCGGAGAGGAGGAGGAGGAGGAGGAGGAGGAGGAGGAAAGATTAGGCTGAGGAGGGGCAAGGGCGAGAAGTGGGCAGCCTGCTTCCCAGCACGCCGACGATGATCGTGTACTCCTTCACGCTCTCGACGGGAGCGGAACGAGGGCACGGCCCACGCCACCCCGCCACTCCCCTCCAACCCCTCCCCCCCTGAGAATGACACATTCATCAAGGATGGGGTCGAAGGATCACGCAGCATCGCCGATGCATTGCCGATGCATCGGCGAAACGTCGCGATGCATCGGCGATGCATCGGCGACGCCAAGGTGTTGAGACCGCCCCAGACTACTTGGGCGGCCTGTTGAGGCCAACCCTGACTGAGGCCAGCAAGGACTGCCCGGGTCCTTGGGGGGCTGTCCGTGCGCAACCCGAAGCCTTACCCCTCCCCCTCTTCCCCCAGCCCTCTGCCGACGCCGCCGCTCTTCCTGCTCCCCCTCTTGAGAACGCCCTGCTTGTACAGCGGGGCGACGATCCCGAGCAAGTCCTCCGCCGGCGTCGAAGGATCCTGCATCTCTCGGAACATCTGTCTCAGCTTCCTCGGATCCCGAGTATGCAACGGGGACGCTGGGCGAACCCCAAAGAATTTCGAGCCGGAAAGAATTTCGAGCCGGAAAACCTGCAGAAACTTTTTGTTCGGCCTCTTTTTGTTCGGACATTTTTTGTTCGGCCTCTGGTGCGTAGGGGCCGCTATCTGGGCCAAACCTTCAACCCCTCCCTGGGTAATGGTAACGATCGTGAGGTGTGGGGGGCTGGACCCCCCCACACGCTGCAGTGGTTCTCGCGCGCAAGCTGTGGCGATCGCAACCCCGCTCCGACGTGCCCCACCCCGCCCAAGCGTCAGCATGACCCGAGGCGCCTTGCCCCTCCGACCCCTTTGGGGTTCGACAGCTGCCGGAGATCATACAAAACAGTCTCCCACTGATTGTGTCCTCCTCCTCCTCCTCCTCCTCCTCCTCCTCCTCCTCCTCCTCCTCCTCCTCCTCCTCCTCCTCCTCCTCCTCCCTCCTCCTCCTCCTCCTCCTCCTCCTCCTCCTCCTCCTCCTCCTCCTCCTCCTCCTCCTCCTCCTCCTCCTCCTCCTCCTCCTCCTCCTCCTCCTCCTCCTCCTCCTCCTCCTCCTCCTCACCTCCTCCTCCTCCTCCTCCTCCTCCTCCTCCGCCTCCGCCTCCGCCTCCGCCTCCGCCTCCGCCTCCGCCTCCGCCTCCGCCTCCGCCTCCTCCGCCTCCGCCTCCGCCTCCGCCTCCTCCTCCTCCTCCTCCTCCTCCTCCTCCTCCTCCTCCTCCTCCTCCTCCTCCTCCTCCTCCTCCTCTCCTCCTCCTCCTCCTCCTCCTCCTCCTCCTCCTCCTCCTCCTCCCTCCTCCTCCTCCTCCTCCTCCTCCTCCTCCTCCTCCTCCTCCTCCTCCCCCCATCGCTGCCCCCGAGTCTCGGAGGGGGGGGGAAGAAGGTGCGCGGCGGCGAGGCGCGGGGCACCCGCGGGGACGCGAGAGCGGTCGGGGGGGGGGGGAGGTAGGGACACGAACTCTATACACCGACGCTTCTCCCGACCCTGCGCTGAGATTCGCACAGGAACGCGGATCCTGGTGTATATTGGGCGCCCGAGTTATCCGGGGTAACTCGGGTCCGGGGTACTCGGGTTTGGATTCCCGAAAAAGGAACCCGAGTTAGCCCTGACCCGAGTTACCCCTGATGATGTGGGGCTCTGGACGCCCGAATTATCCGGGGTAACTCGGGCCCAGGGTAACTCGGGTTCGGATTCCCGAAAAACGAACCCGAGTTAGCCCTGACCCGAGTTACCCCTGATGATTCGGGGCTCTGACGACGCTTTTTCCGACCCTGCGCTGAAATTCGCACAGGAACGCGGATCCTGGTGTATGCGGGATCCTGGTGTGTACATGTCTCATCGTCTCCCTTGGAAAACAGGGGAAAAGCATACACCACACCACCCCGACGCCGTCCCCCACCCTCAAGAAGTCGTGGGACTGAAAAAACAGCCCGCCGTTGGTAGTGTATATGTTCCAGTTTCCGAGGAGTGGCCTCTCACCTCTGAACTTTGGACGCCCGAAATGGGTACCGAAAAAATGGGTACAATGCCCAAAAGCAAACGTTGTCCCAAACCAACAGCGGCCGCTGTTGGGCAGGCGGCCTCCTGTCTCGAACGGACACAGGCCGCGGCGGCGAGGACAGCGGATCCTGTTCAAAATGAACAGGAATTGCTGTTGGGCATCGTACCCATTCTTTCCGTACCCATTTCGGGCGTCCAGATGAACGCTCCCATCCCGGCGGCGAGCCCCGGGCCTCAGAGGGGGGGGGAAGGCAGAGCGGGCGGGCTGCCCCCAAGAGGCCGGAGACCCTCGGCCTGCGAAGCGGGCTTCCTCCCCCGTCCCAGAGGGCCAGAGGGCTTCTGAGACGCGTCGCCGCCAGCGATCGTGCCGTCGAGGGGAAAAACTGCGCAACAAGAGTTTGGGAGCCTCCTCGGATGACCCCCCTCCGGGTTCTTTACAGTTCGGGCGCTGCTGCAAAGCAGTGGACATCAACAATGACCATGACCAATAGTGAACAAGGAAACGTCGGTGTCTGTCTTGCTCGTCGTCCAGCTTGGTCGTAGTCAACTCGTGATCATCCTCGCGAGTCGGCAACGGCAGGCATGGACCATGACCAAGGCGGGCCGGCATCGACAAGATCCCACGACATCGTTCCCCAAACAGTGTCTGCACTTAGGGCTTCGTATTTCTTTCCTGACAAACTGGGCCTGGCTGTGACGACTCCGTGCTCGCCGTCGCCGCCCCGTCGCCGCCTCGTCGCCGCCCGTCGTCTGGGGCTGGCTGGCGGTCTGGCGGCTCCGTGCTCGCCGTCGCCGCCCCGTCGCCGCCTCGTCGACGCCAGTCGTCTGTGCCTGGCTGGCGGTCTGGCGGCTCCGTGCTCGCCGTCGCCGCCCCGTCGCCGCCTCGTCGCCGCCCGTCGTCTAGAGCTGGCTGGCGGTCTGGCGGCTCCCTGCTCGCAGTCGCCGCCCCGTCGCCGCCTCGTCGCCGCCCGTCGTCTGCGCCTGGCTGGCGGTCTGGCGGCCTTGTGCTCGCCGTCGCCGCCCCGTTGCTGCCTCGTCGCCACCCGTCGTCTGGAGCTGGCTGGCGGTCTGGCGGTGTCGTGCTCGCCGTCGCCGCCCCGTTGCAGCCTCGTCGCCGCCCGTCGTCTGAGCCTGGCTGGTGGTCTGGCGGCTCCGTGCTCGCCGTCGCCGCCCCGTCGCCGCCTAGATTGCACAACAGAGTCTTTGCTCGAAAAGGAAACCACGATCTACCAACCCCCCTCCCGTGTGAATTGCTACCCCTTTGAACCATTGACATTTAATGTTGCCCATTCAAAACGATGGACCCTTACCAACCCCGCTAGACCGTATTGCCCCCCTCATCTCGATAGAATAATACTGTGCGCGCGCACTCGTGCACCAAGTACCTTGACAGTTGAAGTACACCTGTTCAAACCAAAACTTGACAACGTCAACACGCGCGCGGCGTCGCGCGCGCATGCCGAACGTATTCAAAGACCTTAGTCTCGTAAGGATGTCAAGACCGAGCTTCCCAAGCATACACATGTAAGGAATATGAGTCGCGCCATTGGTTGTGCCGGTGTTCCCTGGGCTGCGCCATGGGAAGCGCGCTTGGCGCCCCCCAAAAACGGCCTGCCATTTGTTGCGCCATAATACGTGCGTCATAGGTTGCGCAACCCAGAGGCTGAAAAAAAACAGAATGCCAGTGGGTGCGCCATCAGAAACTGCGGGCCCCAAGGTAGTTAGTTGAGACGGCCCATTGCGCCATGGGTTGCGCACTCGGCGCAACTAACAAAACGCCCTGCTCCCGGTTGCACCATAGCTTGCGCACTGGGCGGCCGAGAACTGAAACTGCGTGCTGACAGGCACGACCGTTTCGTTGGAGTAGTCAGTCGGACAGTGAGGTTCATTTCGCGAAAAACAGATTCGGGTCGGGCCTGTAAATAGTGGCCTCTTAGATGGGGTTCAAGTGGATGGGGTCGGAGGATCTCGCCGCATCGCCGATACATCGGCGGTGCATCGCCGATGCATCGGCGATGCATCGGCCATGCACTGGCGACGACGGCGGTGCATCGGCGACGCCGGCATGGAGAAAGTCGGGCTCCACATCGAGCCGCATCGCCGATACATCGGCGATGCGGAGCAATCCTCCGACCCAATCTACTCCGACCTCATCTAGGAGGCCTACAGACAGCGAGGTTCACTTTCACGAAGAATTAAACTCGGGACGGGCCTCTAAAGGCTTAGAACAGCTGGCCGTCGCCCCTTCCTCACGGCCCGGCGACGTAAGCTGACCAACTCACCCATCCTGGCCAGGCCGATCCTCGCCACAAGGTCGGTGCGAGTAGATAGGGTCGAACGATCGCGCCGCATCACCAATGCATCGCCGATGCATCAAGGATGCATCGGCGATGCATCAGCGACGCCGGCGATGCATCGACGACGCCGGCGTGGGGAAACACGGCCTCCACATCGAGCCGCACCGCTGATGCATCGCCGATGCATCGCCGACGTATCAGCGACGTCAGCGATGCATCGGCGACGTCGGCGCGGGGAAACACGGGTCTCCTCCTCGGGCCACATCGTCGATGCATCGACGATGCGGCGCGATACTCCCACCCCATCTACGCGGACCCCATCTGGGAGGCCTAGGGCCCTCCTGGCTTGGCCAGGGAGGCGTGTACTTTAGTAGTGGAAACAATTGGTCTCCAAAACGTTTGGTCTTCAGAAGCTCTGCGTGGCGACGCCCCCGTCGCCACGCAGAGCCCCCTGCGTGCCTGCGGGGGCGCCGCCACGTAGAAGCACTGGAGACCGAGCATTTGGGGCGTCGCTACGCGCGCCCCTCTGCGTGGCTGCGACCACTTGTCAAAACCCTGAGACCAATGGAATGCACGGATTGAGTGCAATCGTGCGGGGCCCAGGACCCGCCGGGCCAGCATCGGCGAGGGGGTCCGTCGACGGCGCCCGCCCCCCGGGAGGGCGAGGGGCAGCAGGAGGCGGCGGCGGAGGAGATCCACGGCGTGCCCCCGGCTCCCAGACGTGCGCAGCTTGCCGGCCTCGAACGTATCCCTATCCCTAAGATTGGCACGCCAAAGGGGCGATGACAATCTTAGGGATGCGCCCTCAAAAAACAAGGGAGCCCCTGAGATTGGCATCGTGGTGAGGAGGTGCCCAACATAGGGATAGGGATGTGTTCCAGGCTGGTGTAAGCAGCGTGGCTCCCCAGAGGTCCGGGCCCCTTCCTGGGGACAGGCGTTGCATCCCGAGCCGCGCCTGGGCTTGAGTCGGGCCTGTCCCCCTACAGGGGGATCTTCGACGAAAAAATGAGAGATACCCCCAAAAGAGTCCAAAAATAGTCTGGGGACTATGTTTTGGAGCATCTTTTGACCATCGTGGACTATGTTTGGGGTATGTTCTATTCTTCGTCGAAAAAATCCCCCTGTAGGGGGACAGGCCCGACGTAAGCCCAGGCGCGGCCCAAAGGCCCCACGGCACGGGCCCCCCGTGTTACAGCAGCCGCCAACCACGCCTCCCGCGCCGTAAGAGCTCCCCGCGCGACGCGGGGCCGGGCTCTCAGGCCAGGGCTCTCGGGCCTTGGGCGTGGGCGAGCGGGGAGGTCCCCCCGGGCGCCCCCTTGGAGCGCTCCCCCGCCGAAGTCCTAAGGGATGCTCTCCAGCAAGGCGTAGGGGGCGACTGCTGGGAGGTCTTCGTCGGACGGGTCCTTAGGTCCTTAGCGTCCCTTAGCTCCTAAGGCTTGGGAGGCAACTGCTGGGAGGTTTTCGTCGGGAGGATGCAAGGATGATCAAGCCCCCTTGGGGCGCTGCTACGCCAGAGTGGGCCTCGGATCAGGCGGGATTGAGCCAGAGAAAGCGGGATTGAGCGGGAGCAAGTGGGAGTAAGCCGGATGAAGCTGGATTTCGGACCAGGGCGAAGTCAGAATTTGACCTCCCAGGTTTTGCATCCGAACATCCCGAGGTTGGAGACCTGCCGAGAGCCGACGAGCGAAAACCTCCGCGACGCGCGGACGTCAGGGTCGCCAAGCCTCCCCGAGATGCGCCCGGTAGTTGGGCTGGGGTCGTCGAAGGGGCCGCGACGGCGGCGTGCTGAGCTCCAGCGCGCCCGCAACGTCAGGACGGCCGCCGCGACGGCACGCGCGGCTGGCGGAGGCGCGGACGCTGCTGTCCGTGAAGCCGCGGTCCTGCCGTGGGCGGTTGGTCGCCGAAGGCGTTGGCTGGATGTGGAGAAAACGGGGCCCACGACCGAGACAAAACACGGAAACGTTGTGTCGATCTTGGCCACCTTTCATCTTGGTCAGCGTCGCTTCGTGGATTCGCGAATCGGCGGCAGCCGAGATGGACCATGACAAAGATCGGCACCGACAAGATCCCGCGACATCTTGGTCATGGTCTCCGTGCTTCTTACCTCGAGTAGGAGGCAGCTCCTGCGAGGTCTTCGGAAGAACGAAAAACTTATGCACCATTTTCGAAGGGGCCTCGTCTGTCTCGTCGTGCCCCTATCCGCATCAAACCCATGTCGAATACTCCAGATTTCGTAATGAAAGGGAGGGGGTCTGGACCCTCCAAGACAAGCCATTTCAGACCTCCCCCGTGGGAGAACCCTCCAAAACATCGTCCCCAGACCCCCCAGGCCCTCCAAGATAGCATGGAAGAGACCCCCCCCGAAATGAGACCCCCCTCCCTTTATTACGAAATCTGGAGTACATGTCGGACTTGTCGAATCCGCGTCGAATCCTCGTCGGATCGACGCCGAATCCGCGTCGAGTCCGCATCAAGCCCGCGTCGGGCACAAGAGAAGGTACGCATTTGGGGAACAGACGAGGCCCCCCGAAGATGCAGCATAGGGAACGACCGAGTGGGCACCAAACTGGATGCTCCCAAATCGAGCTCTACATGAAACAGGATTCAACCGGAGTAACAATAATGAACATGGATTCTACCACGGCAGTACCAGCGCCGATGCTGCAATGAGCCTCCCGAGAGTTGCATCCCAACAGGCGGACATCTCGGGGATGGACAGGCCCCCCTTTCGTAAAACGTGGTTTAGTGAAAACGACCTGAGGCCCAAACCTGGCGGGCGCAGGCCTGGAAAATAACGGCCACGACGCCCTCTCGAGAACCGAAAACGGACAATTCACTAATCGACGTGTCACTGTTGGGGGTTCTGCCCACCCCCGATTAACAATACTGAACATGGAGTCTACCACGGCAGTGCCAGCGCCGAGGCTGCACTGAGCCTCCCGAGAGTGGCAGCCCAACAGGCGGACCATGGGGGAAAGCTCGGCAGGACGTGGTGAGCTGAAGGGGCCCTGGGACACACAGATAAGTACACACAAATTAACGGATATCCCCCATAGTTTCCCATATTTTTGGGGGGTTTCTGTCTTCCCCCCCACCTTCCCACATTTTCCCATATGTTCTGGGGAATCGAGGATTCATTGTGTCTGTGTGTTTTTTCCTGTCCTGGTGAGCGTCTGCTTGCCCGGCCGAGCCTCCTCCCGTGCCCGGGCCCTGCTCCCTCGCACGCCCTGCCCCTCCTCCTCCTCCTCCTCCTCCTCCTCCTCCTCCTCCTCCTCCTCCTCCTCCTCCTCCTCCTCCTCCTCCTCCTCCTCCTCCTCCTCCCTCCTCCTCCTCCCTCCTCCTCCTCCCTCCTCCTCCCTCCTCCTCCTCCTCCTCCTCCCTCCTCCCTCCTCCCTCCTCCCTCCTCCCTCCTCCCTCCTCCCTCCTCCCTCCTCCTCCCTCCTCCCTCCTCCCTCCCTCTCCTCCTCCTCCTCCCTCCTCCTCCTCCTCCTCCTCCTTCCCCTCCTCCTCCTCTCCTCCTTCTCCTCCTCCTCCTCCTCCTCCCTCCTCCTCCTCCTCCTCCCTCCTCCCCTCCTCCTCCTCCCTCCATCCCCTCCTCCTCCTCCTCTCCTTCTCCTCCCTCCTCCTCCTCCTCCTCTGCTCCTCCTCCTCCTCCTGCTCCTCCTCCTCCTCCTCCTCCTCCTCCTCCTCCTCCTCCTCCTCCTCCTCCTCTGGTTGGCTCCGTCAGCGAAACTCGGGCGCCGTCTGCCGAGCGCCATTGGCAACGCGCTGTGTCGCAACCAAGCGCGTGAGGCGGGTGTACCGTGCTGCCGGCCCGTCGCGTGGACACGACACCGGAGAGAAGAGCACGGTCAACATCAGCGATAAGACTTGAGTCCAAGGGTGCAAGACCTTTGGAACGGCGCGAAAGCCCAAGACGCACGCACCCAGATGTGCGAAAGATGGCCATATCCGAGGGATGCAAGGTGCCCTTGCGATAAGGGCCCATCCTTAACGGTGGTTTCATCGTCAGGTGGGACGCGAACTGACATGGCGTTGTGGGGCCATGTCGCGCAAAACACAAAAGGGGTTGGGCTTCGTCGTGGCCGAGTGCCCAGTGGCTTTCTGGGGAGGCCAAGAGAGTCCGATAAGGTAATCCTTCTCCGCCCCCGCGCCAACCAGCCTGCTCCCTCCTCCGACCCTCGTCACATTCCCTCCAACCTCCAGCCTCCCACATACTCTCAACTTCCCTCCAGCTTTATCCCACCTTGCCCTCCTCCTCACCCCATCCTCCTCCTCCTCCCCCTCCTCCATCCCTCCATCCGCCATCCTTCCCTCCATCCCTCCCACTCCTGCGGCAAACCCTAATGGGCGCCATGGCGTACCCTGAGGGCCAGAGGGCAACAACAAAACAAAAACAAAAAAACACACTATGGTTCCTTGTTGCATATCTTCTTCCTCATCCATGCCTTTTCCTTGCCTTTTCCTTCTACATGTTGCCCTTTCCTTATACAGATTGCCTCTTCCTTAGACACATTGCCTTTGCCTACACCACCTCACCTCCTTGCCTTCTCCTTTATACCTGTTTCCTCTCCGCCGCACCCCGAGACGTGTCGGTGGGGCGAGCCGCACGCTCCGCCGGAGAGCTCCTCACCATCGAGCATCCCTAGACCGAGCATTGCACCAGTCCCACGGACGAAGGGCGGGCCGCTTTCAGCAGGTGGCTCTCGCCTCAGCGCCGCGCACCTGCGGCTTCAGATGTGCACGAGTTTCACGCATGGAGGGCGGGCGCTTTCAAGATGTGGCTCTCGACTCAGCGCCGCGCACATTCGTATGACAAGATTACAAGTCTCGCCGATGGAGGTCGGCCCCATTTGAGAATGTGGCTCTCGCCGCAACGACAAGCACACTCGTCATTAAAAGTTTGCAAGATGTTCACGTGTTGAAGGCGGGATTGCTTCAAAATGTGGTTCTCGCCGCAGCGCCGCGCACGTGAGTCTTAAGAGTTCGCAGTATTTTCACGGACTATTATGGTTGACATCCCAGAAACGGCGTTTTGGCAGGACGTGGGACTGCCAGGGCGCAACTTTTACATTGATTAACGGTGTTGAAGTCCCAGCAATGGTGTTCTGGCCCGATTCAGTATCGCCGAGACGCAACAGCAACAATGATTCGCGGCGTTGAAGTCCCAGGAGTTATGGTCTGGCATGGCCCAGGCTTTTCAGACGGTTGTCTTCCAACGGGGCAGTTCCCCCGCATGAGAATGTATCTATATCGAGACCTATGAAGAGGGAAATTGGAGGGAGGGTTTATTGCAACATCGTTGATGAGTATTGGGTATACTCTGGCCTCCTCCTCATCCTCCTCTGCCTCCCCCTCCTCCATTTCCTCCTCCTCCTCCTCCTCCTCCTCCTCCTCCAACCAACCACATCCTCATCCTCATAAGCATCATCAGCAGCATCAGCATCAGCATTATCATCAGCATCATCATCATCAGCATCAGCATCAGCATCATCAGCAGCATCATAATCATCATCAGCATCATCATCAGCAGCATCATCATAGTAGTCATCAGCATAATCATCATTATCACCAGCAGCAGCAACATCATCATCATCTTCGTCTTCATCATCAGCAACATCATCGTTATCATCACTGGTTCCACTCGTCATCCGCGACCTCACAATCAACATTCAGCATCATCCTCACCATCATCAGCAGCATCATCAGTATCTACATCGTCCCCACAACCATCCTAGGCACCTGACTCATCACTAGAAGTATGATGGCTGTGATCACCTTTATGGACCACCACCACAAGCATCAACATCAGCAACAACATCATCTTTGTCACCATCAACACTACACAATCGTTGTCACCGCCCTCCTCGCCCTCCCAATTCTAATCACCTTGCTGGCATGATACTCGGTGATACAGACGGCACAAGTCGTGGCCAGCACAACAAGGACCCCTTCGCATATGGTAGGCGGTACTGCCGCTCTTATGCCTGAAATCCCCCATCCTTCCAATCCATCAGACTCCCCCCACCACTTACCATTGGCCTTGCTGGACTAGAAAGGCCAGCAGCTCGAATAGGTGCATGGGGAGGTTGGGGACAGAGGCAGGCAAAGCGAGAACTGGCGCGCTCTCCGGCAAAATCGGGCAGCAGCGCTACGCGAGGGAGGGAAGACCCTCCAACTCCAGGCCTGGACAGAGAAGGCCTGGCCAAATTGCGAGGCAGGTTCCTGAGCACTCCTTGCTCATACTCTGCCGCACATACAGATCCTCTTCCTCATCCTCCTCCTCGGCCTCAGAGTCCCAAAATCCGAACATGGGCACCGGTGGACAGCGCGGGCGAGAACTGGTCCTCTGCTCCCTGCCCCTTGCCCAGCGTCTCTGGCCAGGCATGCAGACCTGTGGGGCGGCGCCCACCCGTGAGCTCGGACAACGCCTTCTTGCCCCAGACTGTGTGGGGGGGGGCGGGGGGGGGGGCAGAGGCCCTACAACCCCGAGATCCATATTCGCACTGCTGTGGGCCCCAAACTTGCGAAACCGCCGGGAGTTCACGAGCACGGGACAACCCATTGACCCCTCCAGGGAAAGCTGAAAAGTACCGCTACTGCTGATCCCTGGACCTCTCCTGGGGTGTGTTCTGAGCAGAATCCCCAGGAAAATTCTTGACGCTTCGCGTATCCCCACCAGCCCATCCTACACCAGGCACTCGAACGAAGAGCGCCGATGATCGGCAGCTGTTCTTCTCCCCCTCTTCCTCCTTCTCCTCCGCCTTCTTCCTCCTCCTCCTCTCCTCCTCCCTCTCCTCCTCCTCTTCCTCCTCCTCCTCCTCCTCCTCCTCCTCCTCCTCCTCCTCTCCTCCTCCTCCCTGGTGGCGTCTTGGAGGTATCTTCGAACGGTTTGGTGGGCTCTTGGGCCTTGCGGGCGGGCGGGCGGCGCTCCGCCCGCCCGCGCGCAGGGCCCAAGAGGAGAGTCCAAGACGTCTCTTGGAGCCATTTAGGAGGAGATCGATCAACGAAGGAGGGTCCCTCAACTTGGCTCGCCCCCCAGGAGCTCCACAAATCGTCTCCTGGACCCCTCTTGGATCGCTCTTGGAGCGCTCGTGGCCGCTCTTGGAGCCGTCCTGAGGCTCTCTTGGGCCCCTCTTGGAGCTATCTTGAGCCATCTTGGAGTCATCTTGACGCCTCGGATGTGCATCGCAAGCGAAAAGGTGAGAACGCCAAAAACATTGATTTTCCCTAGGGTTTTGAAGCATTTGTGGGCTCCTAGAGGCTTCCTAGTGATGCTCTTGTGGGTACTTGGAGCCGTCTTTACGCGATCTTGGAGCGTCTTGGAGCATCTTCGGAACCATCTTGAGGCATCTTGCGCTATCTTGAGCCATGTTTGGGCTTCGCGTCCCGCGCGAGCGCTCGATTGAATTTATTTTGAAGCAGTTTTTGGGCGCCTGGGGTCCTTTTAGACGCCATCGGGGCGCTCTGGGGGGGGGCATCTTGGAGCAAATCTATCAAAGAAGAGCAGAGCTTTAATTAGCGTTGCCCCTCCAGACTGTCTAAAATTGCTTCCTGGACCCCTCTTGGATCGCTCTTGGACGCTGTTGAGGCAGTCTTGAGGCTCTCTTGGGCCCCTGTTGGGGCCCAGTTGGGACATCTTGGCGCCATCTTGAGGCCTCAGATGGGCTTCGGAAGCGAAAAAGTGAGAACACCAAAAACATTGATTTTCCCATAGGGTTTGAAGCATTTCGGCCTTTTGAGGGCACTCTAATGATGCTCTTGTGGGCACTTGGAACCATCTTGGAGCGGTCTTGGAACGTGTTGGAGCGTCTTCTGGACCATCTTCAGGCATCTTGCGCTATCTTGAGCCATCTTGGAGGCGATCTTGGGCTCTCTGAGGCCCTCTTGGAGCCGTCCTGGGCCATCTTGGACGCTCTGACCGCTCCCCGCCCCTCCTGTCCAGGTCAGTGGGGAGGGGGTAGGGGGAGGGGTAAACCCCTCCCC